CAGAAATTGAGAGAAAGATATCTGCAGGTAGTGAAGTTAAATTCAGTGAGATGCTATAGCTTAAATGTTAATTTATAGTAAATGCATGGATGCTTTGTTTTGTAAAATACCATATTTATCTTTTCGTCCAATAGATAAAACAATAATGGAGTTGCAGCCGTTATTTCTGGAGCAAGAGAGTAGCAAGTAAGTATTATACATCTCAATGATAACATTTATTTGGCTTTAACATAAGGCTTTTTTAAAGTAATATTAAAAGAGTACAGAATTCAGCGTGTATTGTACAAGTGCTTTTTGCTTCCAAATTATAACCAAAAAAAAATCTTAATTATCCTTGTAATTGTTTCTCTTGTTGCGTAAGCTGAAGAATGTTACTGGATGCTTCTACCTTCTTTGGATCTCTCAGTTTCTGAGTGCCTGAATGTAGTACAGGGCTTCCAGTTTACTTCAAAAGTTCTGTGCCAGTCAGCAACACTAATTAGTACTGTGGAGTCTTAATAGAATGCTGGGGCCTTGTGTTTCTCAGGAGGGTTGATTAGCCCCTTCAGTAAGGAAATGGACTTCTATGAGAAATATAGTGTAACTTCCTAAGTTTAAAGGAATGGAGCTGCATCATACTTTTGTCCAGTGCATGCTGTGATCTGGAACTGTATGTATCTCTGAGCTGTCTGGGTCAACTGTCAGGAACCCCTGCTGGGGGAAGGTATTAAAAAGCCTGGAGCCTACACTGCCAATTATGGAATCCTAAAGTTTTATATGGGGAAGCATCTGAGCTGTTACTCTGGAAAGCAGTTTGCAATTGAAAAAAAAAGTTTTCAGAATGGTGTATCACAAATAAATGGTATAAAACTGTGTACGTATTTTGATTTCTCTCCCTTTATTGTTTTCAGTGATCACTGTCACATTGAGAGTGTGGAAAGTGGTAGTTCAATTATCTTTGCTGACCTTACTTCACAAGAAGAGAAATCCTGTGACAATACCAGTCTTAAAAATCTGGGTAATGAATCAGTGCAGAATATGGATGTAAGGAATGATTTTACAAACAGCAATAGTGAAGAGTGTATGAAACCAAATAAATGTGAGTTATCTGTAGGATTACAAGAAGACTCTGTAAGCAGTGTTAGCAGTAGGTCAACTGATACGAAAAATCATTCAGCACAGGGACCTCGTTCTAGTCTGGATCAAGATGCTAGCACTGAAAGTAAGTCCTGCAGTGAAGAATGCTCCAAGAATGATGTAGCTCTCTGTGGAGAGTTTGAGGTATGGTTCTTGTTAAATATACTTAACTGCTGTCTAATTTAATGATGTTTGTAGAGTAGAGTTTGGTAGACAGAGGAATGATTTCTAAGGATAAATTTAAAAAAATTAAGCGACTGCGATTAAAGCCAAAAATACAGACAATTTTTACTGAAGTGGGTGACACCATTACAAGGAAGCTGACCAGAGGAGCTGGCAAAACTCAGCGTACAAGAAAGTTTCCATGTGTTAGTCATCTTGGGTCCTTTCAGAGCATCCACGTGAATAAAAAGTACTACTCCTGCATAAAAAAACCCCCACATCAAACTTCAAAGTCTTCAGCATTCAGTACTGAGGGGTAATTCGGATATTATTGATGAAAGTGTCTAGGTGTGTAGTGTGGTGCCTGTGCAGAGTAGGATTACTTGAGAGCAAGAGAGAAGCAGATTTGGGCATGGAATCACCCCTCTGCCTATACATCTAAAACTTGGCTGGCATTCATACCACTGAAACATTCTGCATAACACAGCAATCTCTGGAATGCTTCAAGCTGTTGCTATCATTTGGAGTTCCCTCCTGCAAGAAATCCAAGATTTTAAAGGCGTTTGCTTGAGTTGCCTAGGTTATCAAATGAACTATTACATTGTCAGAAACTATCAAGTTACATATTCATTTTCATAAATCACAAAATTCCATATCAAGAGGTTCAATTTTTTTGCTAATTTATATTAATTTACACTGTTTCCTTAAGCCAGAATGAACCTCTGTACAGTATGTGTAGAAGCTTTTAAACTCTAATTTGAATACGAAGGTCTGTAGCTGGCTGTTTTGTTAGTTTTTCTTCCAACAATTGTTTACATTTGAGGAACAAGCAAAAAAAACCTCCAAAACCTAGATAGCATTGTTGCATGTGCTTCTTGAATGCAGCAGATTTAATACTGTATTTGATGTCATTTTGGTATCTAACTTTTTAAAATAAATGAAATGAAATTAAGTTAAAACAAATTTTGTTTTTATTAGCTTTAAAGAAAATAACTAAGCAAATACTGTTCATATTACAGTGGCAAAATCATGGACCATTATTTCTCTGTTAGGTGGAGTATCATTTAATGCTTCATATACAGATGCAACTGTGTGAAATATCCTTGTGGGACTGGATTGTTGACCGTAATAAAGGATGCAATGAGAAGACAGAGGAAACTTCCAGTAAGATTCATCACTGTCTTAAAAATTTACTTATTCATTATAAAGCAAATATTTCTTTTTTCCTATTTGGAAGTCCACTTGCCTGATTTTATGTTTTACTTCAGCAGCTTATAATATGGATCTTCTTCATTAGATTCTTTATTCACTTAAAAATAGCAGCTAGTATTGAATCTTTGTATGATAGATGTTGGTGAAAGAGATTTAAGTTCATGAGTTTTAGATAGCTCTTCAAAAAAGAATTAATATGTGCCTCAAGGCATAATTGTTACCTGGAGAGATCTATACCTGGGCAATACTGCTTATTTTTTGGAATAGAGTTTTTTATTGGCAGAATCTGCTTTTTCTCAGTAAACTGTTTAAATAATTGAAATTTTGCTTTGGTAGTAGTCTTGCTGCTACAAAATAGAGCTCTTCACAGGCAAATGTATCTGCTGTGGAAAATATAAATAGATCATTTGTTCCAGATGGGTTACAACATACTTGAAAGCTTTTAAGTTTGTTCTTAAGAATCAAAACTCCTATGCAGGCTGATTTGTCATTGGTCTAAAGAATCTAACATTTACTTTGCTTCAGTGGCCAGAGGAGTTCTCATGCCCTGATACCAAGCTGTCTTTCAATAATTGTTGACACTTGGAAGAAGAAGTCTAATGCTCATAAAGCATTAGACACATGTTACTTTCTCAGGGGTGCTTGTGGGGAAAAAAAAAAGCATATGCTTAATAGATTGTAAGACAAAAACTGTATGATTAATGTTTAATCTTCGTTTTAATCACTATTAAATCTGTTGTTCTCTTCAGTCGTGGCGTCAGGTTTACCAGCTATCAGCTGACTTCCACTAATCTCTTCTGTAATAACAGTCTTTTGGCTTTCATAAGCTAAAAGATGGTGTTCCTGGTGACGGGGTGACAGAATTACTAGGGCATTTGACCTTGCAAAATGCTATTTTTATACATTTTCCCAGACGACAGGAGAGAAAAGGTGAATGCTGTCATAGGTTAGGCATTAAGAAACCCAAGTAGGAGTAAATGGTGAGTGTTTGAAGTGGCAACAGACATGTTAGATCTGGGTCATTAGAGTAGGAAGACAATGTCATTTAATAAAATAATAATGTAGGAAATGTTAAAAACAATGAGATGGTAGGTTTATTTAGGACAGCTACAGCCAGAGGATATTTGGGAATTTCAGAAGGTTTGGGATCCAAAAAGGAAGGGTGCAAATCAATACAGAAAACATGTCATTATGTAAATTAGTATGATTTTATTTGGAACTGTATTTTCCATTCTAATTCAGCACTTACATGGAATTAAAGAGTATAACTCAGTAAAATTAGCTGAAATAATTTAGATTTTAAATTGTTTTAAGGTCCATACCATCTTGTGGATGTCCGCTGGACAATGAAAATTTTTGAAGAGTTATTAGAAGGTGTATGCTATATCCATAGCATGGGAGTGATGCATCGAGACATTAAAGTAAGTTCATCAAATTACTACTTGAGGCTGAAGAAAACAAAGATAACTTACATTATGGGAGAGTGAAAGCAACTTCATAGTTAAATTTGATATAACTTGGGCTCTTAAGAATTTAGCTATGTTACATATGAAAAAATAGATCATCTCCTCTATACTAGTACCATTTTTTCTTTACTGTAAGCATAGTACTCAACTACATTGACATACGAGTGAATTATGATTAAGCTCTGGAAATGTTTTCTCTTTTGTGAAGCTGTTTTCTTGTCCTAAGCAGGGATGGGCAGATTGGTTTTGTTTTGTCTTGGTCTTTCCTTAACCAGGGCAGGACCTAAATTACCTAAATAAAAATTCTTTTAGATAATTATAAAAATAAGCAAAGCCCCTTGACTACACCTCAATTTGCAAACAGCATATCAGATAGTTTCTGAAAATATGTTCAATTTATAGTTACTTGCTTTTTAAAAAAAAAAAAATCCCTCCACTGGAAATAATTGCTGTCTTTCGAAATGGTTGCTATCTCCTCCAAGGGACTGAAATTGTAGGTGATGTGACTGAATGAAGAGTTTCGATTTCATTCCTATTAAAAGTAACAAAGAGCAGACTTTAAAAAATAACACTTTGAATGGTTAGAATAGGATGCCGTTTATAGGTTCTTGTGAAGTTTTTTTGGAACTCTAATCGTGAGAATGGTTTTGAATTATTGGCTAGCTTAAATATGAAGCATAGATATATCTTTTCCCCCCCCCAACTGATAGACTTGAATAGCAAGGAAGTGAGCGTGTATTTTCCTACTTTGCTTGCTTTAGAGGTTCTCTGCATTTGATACAGTAGCTATATGAGGAAATCAGTGTGAAAATCATCTTGATTATTAAAACTCCACATGTGGAAACTTGGAAATACTTGGCAACATACAGTCTTCATTCTGGATTAATTTTAATTTTTCTGCCAACTGTTTCAGGGTCAACAGTTTTTCAGTTTGCTTTCCTCTTTAGCATCACCATGGCCTTATTGTCCAAAGTCCTGGTAGTTGTATAAAGAATTCCATACAGTTACTGGGAGCCTGTTTTAGAGCCAGTGTTCGTTTCATTTTCACAATATGTTCTTGTAACGGTGATTTGGCAGGTATCTTGCAGAGACAGGAATTTCTGTGATAATAAGAAAGTCTTTCAGCATTTGAAATTCTGAGAACAGAAGTCCAGTGGGTGGGTGTCCTTGATTATCTGTTTACTTCAGTGGATATGAGAAGCCTAGCAACTTGTTCAACAGTGCTGTATCTTTTAAATTTGATCTGTGTCAAAGAAATGAAAAGAGTGGAGATTGCCACTGTTTATGTCTGCTTTATACACTAACAGAAGATCAGCTATTGTGTTTCTGCCACCTGAGCAGGCCTCGTGAATAGCTGTTTGTCCTTCATGATCTTGAGTATTTATGTTGGCTCCATTGCTTAATAGTAAATGGATGCAATCTGTGTTGACACCTAAAATTCTCTCTTCAGACGATGCTGTGCATACTGCAACATGAAGGGCAGTTCTTCCACAGGTTGGACTGGCAAAGTTAGTGTTTGCTCCAGAGGCGATGAAGGTTGCTGTTACCTCTGTGTTTAGTGACCCTGCTGCTATGTGAAGAGGTGTCCAGCCAGACTCATCGGTATACTTTAAGATAATACTCAGAAAGAATGGATATAGTTGGAAAGGCATCATCAGGCTGTTGGCCAAATCGTAGAAGACTGTTGTATTTGTAACTACTCATGTCAGGATTTATCTGATGTTTTACATTTTGCAAGATACAGAGACACTTTTCTGTATTATGCTGTATTCTCTGAAATTTGTCTGAAATGAATGTCCCAGCTGTAAGTACTAGGCAAATTTAGCAGAAGTTGAAGTGCTGTGTAGCCTCTTGTTATTTTTGTAACATAAAACATTGTTTTAAGTGAATTTCTTTTTATTAAGACAAAATTACTTAGACTAAAACTTCTGGACTTGCAGGGCATAACATAGTAACAGGTCCCAAAACTTCAGTTGTCAGAACAAATTTTATGAGTTGCCATGACCTAACAGAAGCTTGGTCATTAACTTGTATTTGTTAACCACAGCTTCTTTGTGCCCAGCAGGAGTGCATAATAGTGTTAATGCCATCAGTTGCTCTATTACCTAGTTTTATAGCATGAGTAATGAGTCATAGTTCAGCTTCAGGCCAGTGAAGCTCACAGAAGTGTACGCAAGCAGAAGTTCGTCTCATCTGTACATACAGACATAATCTGGCAGTGCTTTGGCCTCTAGATTATAAAATCATAGAATGGTTTGGGTTGGAAGGGACCTTTAAAGATTGTCTAGTCCAACCCCCCCTGCCACAGGCAGGGACTTCTTTCACTAGATCAGGGTGCTCAAAGCCCCGTCCAACCTCAGCTTGAACACTTCATCCACAGCTCTGGGCAACCTGTTCCAGTGTCTCACCACAAAAGTTCTTCTTTGTATCCAATCTAAATCTACCCTCTTCCAGTTTAAAACTGTTGCCCCTTGTCCTATCACAACAGGCCCTGCTGAAAAGCCTCTGTCTTTTTTTTTTTATAAGCCCCCATTATATATTGAAGGGCCAGTAAAGTCTCCCTGGAGGCTTCTGTTTTCCAGGCTGAACAGCCCCAACTCTCTCAGCCTTTCCTCACAGGAGAGGTGCTCCAGCCCTCAGATGATATTTGTGGCCTCCTCTGGACCTGCTCCAACAGCTCCATGTTTGTCTTGTGCTGGGGACCCCAGGGGTGGATACAGGACTCATCAACTCATCAACCTTGAGGTCATCAACAAGCAAGTGGAGGAAAAGAAGGTTATCAGGAGCAGTCAGCATGGATTCACCAAGGGGAAATCATGCCTGACCAATCTGATAGCTTTCTACAATGACATGACTGGCTGGGTAGATGAAGGGAGAGCCGTGGATGTTGTCTACCTAGACTTCAGCAAGGCTTTCAACACAGTCTCCCATAATACCCTCCTAGGGAAGCTCAGGAAGTGTGGCCTAGATGAGTGGTCAGTGAGGTAGATTGAGAACTGGCTGAATGGCAGAACTCAGAGGGTTGTCATCAGTGACGCTGAGTCTAGTTGGAGGCCGGTAACTAGTGGTGTCCCCCAGGGGTCAGTACTCGGCCC